AACCTGACACAGAGCAGCTGCGCCGTCACGCAGCAGATGTCCAACATGAGTGGGAGCTGCAGCATGCTGCAGCAGACCACCATCAGCTCTCCCCCAACCTGCAGCGTCAAGTCTCCCCAGGGCTGTGTGGGGGAGAGGCCCCCGAGCAGCAGCCAGCAGCTGGCACAGTGCAGCATGGCAGCCAACTTCTCCCCACCAATGCAGCTAGCCGACATCCCCGAGACGGGCAACGCCAACATTGGCTTATATGAGCGAATGGGGCAAAGTGATTTTGGGGCTGGGCACTACCCACAGCCATCCGCAACCTTCAGCCTTGCCAAACTGCAGCAGTTAACTAATACACTTATTGATCATTCATTGCCTTACAGCCATTCCGCTGCTGTGACTTCCTATGCAAACAGTGCCTCTTTGTCTACACCGTTAAGTAACACAGGGCTTGTTCAGCTTTCTCAGTCTCCACACTCTGTCCCTGGGGGACCCCAAGCACAAGCTACCATGACCCCACCCCCCAACCTGACTCCTCCTCCAATGAATCTGCCACCGCCTCTTTTGCAGCGGAACATGGCCGCATCCAACATTGGCATCTCCCACAGCCAAAGACTGCAAACCCAGATTGCCAGCAAGGGCCACATCTCCATGAGAACCAAGTCGGCGTCTCTGTCACCAGCTGCTGCCACCCATCAGTCACAGATCTATGGGCGCTCCCAGACTGTAGCCATGCAGGGTCCTGCACGGACTTTAACAATGCAAAGAGGCATGAACATGAGTGTGAACCTGATGCCAGCCCCAGCCTACAACGTCAACTCCGTGAACATGAACATGAACACTCTGAATGCCATGAATGGGTACAGCATGTCCCAGCCAATGATGAACAGTGGCTACCACAGCAATCATGGCTACATGAATCAGACGCCCCAGTACCCTATGCAGATGCAGATGGGCATGATGGGCACCCAGCCATATGCCCAGCAGCCAATGCAGACCCCGCCCCACAGTAACATGATGTACACAGCCCCAGGACATCACGGCTACATGAACACGGGCATGTCCAAGCAGTCTCTCAATGGGTCCTACATGAGGAGGTAGGCGGCCTGGGAGGTCCCAGCACCCCCCTGGGCGTCACTCTTGGATTGATCTGCACAAATACCTATGAAGAGTACGATTTCAAAACCAGCAATTGGTGTGAATGCAAAAACATTTGTTGGCACCATTTATTTAAAAAAAAAAAAAAAAAAAGCTGTATGCAGCAGAAAGCCTTATACAAGTTGTTTTTCTTTTTTTCCTTTTTCTTTTTTGGTACCTTGGTTTCTGTTTCTTTTGTATGAAATCCTTGGCAAAGGAAGGCCTCTCTCTGGACTACAATTCGGAGGCAGTCACTTGTTGTGCCTGCTTCCCTTAAAACAATGTGGATATCAAACCCCCCAAATTATCTGTTTTAATATTGAACCTAGAGCTTTTTTTTTCTCTCCCCATCCACTCCATGTAAATGCCTTTAGCATTTCAGTTATTGTATATTTTGTTTAAGGTGACACTTCAGCATGCCGCTAATGTCTTTGTTAGTGACAGTGCATTTTGTATTACTGTACAAGTGTTGTGCTAACAGTAAGCCATTTCTTAAGTTTTTTGCCTTGATTAGGGTACCCTAATTTGAGGGTTTAAAAAAAACTATATTTTTGTTAATTATAAAACTGTAAAGAGCTATAAAAGCTATTCCCACTTGGTTAGTCAAAAGGGTTTTATTGCTAAATGTTTGGTGTAAAGTTGAGACCCTTTTCCATTTTGGTGACAGATTTCTTTGGGGAAAAAGGCAGCTTTCTGTTTTATAAATGCAGACTTCTGTTTATTGAATGAAGCATATCTCAGTGTTTATCTGTCAGGTTTTGAAACATTTCATATATGTCCAAATACTTGGCAGGATTTAAAAAAATAGTGAATTTGGTGTAAAGTTGCTATTTTATGGAAATGCCTCTAACTTTACATTTTCATTCCATCTGTAGATTTTTCTATCTTTATAAAATATTGGAGTTATTTTTTAAGGAAAAATAGAGAAGTAGCTTGTGAATAGCTCAAACTAAGCTTACAAATCGCATGTAAAAAAAGCAAAAAAGTTATTTGTGTCTGTTTATATTGCTTCCTTTTTTGTAGCCTTTGTACCTGTACAGGGTGACAGTAAGGGCCAAGCAGGAGAGGCGTAATCCTTGTATAAAATAGGAGCCAGCAACACTCTTGTATTTATCTGTTCTCTTTTTAGTCAGTTACTTCAAAAAAAACAAAAAAAACAAAAACAAAAAAAGCTGTACATTTTAACATAAAATAAATTATGATGAGCCATTTTTAGCCTCTTGTGTCCTGTCATATTATGATTGATGGAGAATGACCAATGGAACTGTATCATGTGTCACATCTCAGAACACATACACATTTTGGGAAAATAAATTATTTAGTGTAAATTGGAGTTAAGAGATTTTCTGATTTGTTTTGACTTTGGGGGAGGGGTTGGCAATAAATAAGAGTAATATCTAATAAAACCATCACATATACCAAATACCTATTTAATAAATTAATTTATAATGGATTTTAATGCTTTTCATGAAAGTTTATTTTATGCTAGTGCATACCTTCTGTATGCCAATCATTGTCTTTAAAATAAAGTGAATTTGTTTTTTTCTTTTTGACTTTGATCTTCATTTGCAAAAAGGTCCTTCACAGATATCCAGTTGCCTCATTTGTACAGTCTGTATAAACTCCCCTCTGAACTTAGGACCATGGTAGCAAAAACACCCAATTTGGGGTTATATGTTTGAGATTTTATGTCCTTTAAAAAGGTGTGAAAGTTCTGCTTTGTTGTGAATGATTGTATGTTTTCTTTAGAGGCTGAAGTTCAGACCAAAAAAAAAAGAGAGAGAATGTTCACCAACATAGCATTCAGAGAAAGTCTTGCCTAAAAATTAAAATACTTGATTATTCAAGTAACAAGTCTAGAAGTGACAGTTGGGCTTGGCGCCCATGTGAAAGTGGCTTACTATGCGCTGAAAGTTCATTGCGTGCTCCAGCTCTCTGCTAAGCAGGTCACAATCAAAATACTTAGTTATTGTGCAGTGCGTAGACACACAGCTCACACTGGGGTCGGAACTCCGCAGAGGCAGGACGGTGCACACACCTGGGCTGCGCAACAGCCGGTTGTCTGGCTCACCATCAGCATCCCTGTCTTTTCCTTTTGGTCTCTTTGCTCCACACCTGCAAAGTCAGCAGGGTAATAATACCTGTAGTGGATGAGGGAGAATTTCCAGGGAGACATCTCTCAGGGGCTGTTGTAGCAAAAGAGGAGGCAGGCTAGGGACCCACCTTGAAACTCGGGTATTTACTCACTTTCTTCTTGTGCTGATATCTGGGGTGGGGCTGAGATCTCCCTCTTCCCCTGGCCAGTGGCTGCTAATTGCACCCTGGCACTTGGAGCATGTCTGGGCACCAGTGTTCCCACCCCTTACCTGCTTCACGGTGTTCTAGGGAGCTTGTGGAGTCTCACTTTCCCAAACCTTGGTCAGAACAGCACTGGGGATGCCTTGGGTCTCACAGGCCCAACCAACATCCAGAAAGGCTTCATCTAGGGGAGAAATTGCCCGGCTGAGACACCACAGAGCACCTGCCCTCCAAACCCATCAGCTATCACTGGGGACATCATGTCAGACCTGTAAGTGACACCAGGGATCGCAGAGAAAAGCTTGGCTCCACCGGGCTAAATCCAGTCCCAGTGAGTTGGGATTCTCTCACAGGCCACATCTTGAAAACCAGTAGTACTGTGTTCTTCACTTTGTAAGTCATAACAAGGGGTTGCCACTCGCCAACCTCACTAACAGCTCAAGTGCACCTGGGCAGATGTCCAGGCATCAGCCCCCCTCGCCAGCATGCTGTTTTAGAACATTGTAGAAAGCTTTTACAAACAATCCGCCCACCCACCCAGGGCCGGTAAGGCTTCCAGTTTACAGATCAGGAGACTGCAGATGGAAGATCAAAGACACCCAACTTTTTTTTTTTTTTTGGTACCGGGGATCGAACTCGTGTCCTGGCGGTTGCGCAGCAGGCAGTGAAACCACTGAGCTAAATCCCCGACCCGACACCCAACTTTTAATACCTGAACATGCTCAGCTAAGACTCATAAACTAGAGCAAATCCAGATCTCCAAATCCCAGCTTCTCCTTAAAACCTTTTTTATTGTAGAAAGGCCATAGTTTGTCACCTCAGTGACTTAAAAGACTTAGCTAATGAATACGTCACACTATAAAAACTTCAGCACCGTATACATATAAGTGCCTTTGCTGTGGCAGGCAAGCCTTTGATCTACAGACAGTGTCAGATCCCAGAGCACAAGTATTGCTGGCCACAGTAACATCCTCTGCCTTCTCTGTCCCCTTGCCTGTATTGTCCCACGCCCATGCCTGTAAATATTCATATTCTGCAGCAGTCAGGCCTGGCCACATCTCTCTTCTCCTTACCTAGTGTGATGACTTCAAGTTCCATCTCTACAGATAACATCCAGAAACAGCTCCAGTCAGGGACGTTCCTGTGAGCTCTAGCTTCCAGGGACGACCTGGGACATCTTATGGATGTGTCTATGGACATGATCTACTCTACTCACCTTAGGATTTCCAGCCCCAGTCGCCGAATTAAGGCGACACCAAGAACCAAGTCTGTTGTCCTCTCCCTTCTTAGCAAGTCCTCTCCGTCTTCCTGCCTAATTCCAAAACAACCCCTAACACCAGTCTCCTGACCATCAGTCTGGGCCACCCCCCTCCCCGGTTCCTGTCCTCAGCCTAACTGGTCCTCTTGCCTCCTTTCTTTACTCCCTACAACTTGTTCTCTATCTTATAGCAAAAGCGATTTTTTTACTTTCCAGGGTGATTGTATGTGTGTGTGTGTGTGTGTGTGTGTGTGGTACGGGGTATCAAACTCAAGGACCTTGCACTTGTGAGGCCAGCACAGCTCCACTGAGCTAAATCTCTGGCCCTGTTTTGGTCTGGTTTTTTTGGGTTTTGTTTTTTTTTTTTAAGACAAGGTCTTGCTATATAGTCCAAGACAGCCTTGAACTCATGTTGATTCTTCTGCCTCAGCCTCCTGAGTGCTGGGACTACAGGTGTGCGCCACTACACCAGCTCCAGTGACCTTAAGAGCTCACACCATGCCCTTGTTTAAAACTCTCCAGTGGTTTTTCTTTACACTTGGAAGGAAACCTAGTCCCTCGGTCCCTTTCCACTCCTTCCTCACCTGACCAGCCATGCCTCAGCCTAGCATGTTTCCTCCTCATTCGGAAGTCTGAGCCTCCTGTCTCCTCAGATGTCACCCAGTCTACCACACTTCCTGTTTTTCTCCATCTCAGCACTTGTTTCCCTCATCATAATGTATTACAACCTATGTTCTTGTTTGTTCTTTTGCCCTCTGAACCCTGGCTTTTTTCTGCTCATGGTAAGTTCTCAATAAATATTTGGCCAAGTGGTTTTGCCGCCTGCTGTGCAAGCACAAGGACCTGAGTTTGATCTCTGGTACCAAAAAAATAAAAAATAAAAAAAATAGGGCCGGGGATTTAGCTCAGTGGTTCCACTGCCTGCCTCGAAAACGCAAGGTCCTGAGTTCAATCCCCAGTACTATAAATAAATAAATAAATAAATACTTGGCCAAAGGAACATTCAGCTTGTGAAGACATGAAATGCTACTGCAAAAAGTCTGGCTCCCAGGAGTCACCAGGAGAAGACCAGACCCCATCACTGAGTCCTCTGTGCTGCTGCCCCACAGAATTGGGAGGCGTGGAGGGAGGTGGTGGGATTGAAGATGGTCCCTCCTCCTCACGTGTGAATTCACTGCATTGCAGATACTTCACTGAAAGAGAAACACTGCCCACCATCTAGGTCAGATCTCAGAGATAATGACCTCAGAGGGAGCCACCTGCTGCCTTTCCGGGAGCCCTGCTGTGATCAGTATGGCCCCAGGTCTTTCAGGTCTGCCTCTCTCCCATCCCCCCCAAATCCAGGGTGTTGAGCAATTCTGTCGTCCTGGGTTGTTACACCCTGCAGTATTCTCTCCCTTGAGCCTCACAGCTGATCCCTCCTGGCCACTGTCCTATTTAGCATTGTCACTGTTTCTCCAGGATTCTGTGCACCCAGACAGACCAACCACTACTTATTTCCATTTCCATCAGCTTTGCTTTTGTGCTTTGTGACTCCCTTGCAGTATCCCTGGTTTTAATTTATTAGAAGGCCAATATTCTTACCACAGACATCTCAGGGAAAGTCCGCTCTGTGCATACCTGTGTGAGGACCTAGGCTCTCCCTGGACAAAGGTGACCATCCCAGAGGCCTCCTGGACAACCCCAGGAAACTGGCCCAGCCACAAGGTCTAGGCCATAGGTCTTCCCTGTGCAGGGTCAGGTGGCTTTACCCAGCTGCCAAGTCCCTGGACTCTAGCCTCCCTCCACCAAGAACTCCCTCTCCTGCAAAAAAACACATCCAATCTGGAGCACCAAACCCCTTGCCTTAGTTTTCCAAGAGACCTTCACCATACACTCTGCTTTCTCCCACTGGTTTCCATTTCTGGCTTGTGACCACTGGGTCTCCACCAGCAGAATCTCTCTTTGGGCTCTGATTGGTCTGGTTTCCTGGTTCTGGAAGCCACCATTACCTATTTCACACTGCTACCATTTTTTTCTCCAGAGTGAAAAATCGCACATCCCTGGTGTCTGGTTTTGCTCTCAGGCCAGCAAACCTACACAGGAGCTCACCTGGCTGCCTGTCTGCCCAGCCCTCAGGAAATACATCCGCAAATCCTGAAACCAAGCCAGTCCACCTTGCTCTGGGGTCAAAATGAAAGTTGCTCCACTGAACCCTCCTACCCTAAAGAGTGCCTCATCTTTTTAACCCCTAAAATTATAAAGCTGAACTCTTGCTGATCCAAATTTCCCACAGTACATTGAATTTGTCTGGGTGGTGGTAGTTCCATGAGGAAGGATCCCGCATTCCACTGCCACTAGGTGAGCAGAAATGCTGGATGGTGACCCCAGCCTGCCTAGGGTTCCATGGGTAAAGAGTTGTGGGTGCCCAGGGGCTCCCTAATAAACTGGGTGTGCTCTCCCATACCACAGTTCACCCAGGTACTTTTGTGTGGTCAGAAAATCAAGTTCCATTTTAAAGTTATTTTTTGTAAGAATGTGACCTTCCTTGTGACAAAGGCAAACATTTAATCACAACACAACGCCCACACATTTTGAAATCCTTCTCTGCCTCCATCTTTAAAAAACAAGATTTTCTGCAGCGAGTTCTGCTGGAGTTGTCTTCCCCACGGTGCTGTGACAGAGTCCTGGACTCGGCCAGGAGGTGGCTCTGAGTCCTCCCTGTCCCTGACACACACTGGGAAGTTTAGCTTGGAAGAAATCAACCATTGGTTCCACTGTCCTTTCTATGTGACCCACAAAGTCACAGGCCAGCACCCTTTTCAGCTGTCCCTCTGGGTCCCAAGTGTCTGTCCTGGGGCCCTGAGGAGCGCCCTACAGCTCCTCAGCGCCGTCCCTGAGCTGGGCCTGTCGCCTCTGCTGCACCAGCTGCTTGTCCAGTTCTCGAAGCTGCTTCAGGAAGCCGCGGTTGGGCAGGACACAGCGGTTTCTGGCCACTTGCTGGATGGCGTCCACCAGGGTCATGTTCCTGTGGATCATCAGGTAGGCTAGGACCAGGGTTGCTGAGCGGCTGCGGCCCATGGCACAGTGAACCAGGATCTTATCTGCAGATGGGAGGGGAGGAGAAAAGCCGGCTGAAGGGCCAGTGGCCCAGGCAGGAGAAACAATTACAAGATAATCAAAAAATATGGTAAACGCTTCCCTTATTTATTTATTTATTTATTTATTTGCTTAAATTCTTTTTTTGGTATATTTTAGTACACAATACGTTTACATTTCTCATTGGGTGCTTGTACCTGTACATGCTGTATCTTGGTTCTTATTTTTTCCCCATTACCTGTGCACCCTTCACCCCTCCACCCTTCCCTATTTACATAGACTTTGTTTCCTTTTTTTTCTTTTCTTTTCTTTTTCTCATAATGTGTTCTTTCCATTCTTCCCTTTCCCCATCTCCTCCCACCACCCCTACCCCTTTGGACCTTTTCCTGTTTCAAAGTATCAATTGTTAGTTATTAATCTTTTTAATCCTTATTTACACTCTCAGTTTCTCACACTAGAGGAACTATTCGGTATTTACACATGTGCGTCCTATTTATTTCACTTAAGAGTATGGCCTCAATAGGCATCCATTTAGCTAGAAATGACTCTAGTTTCTCATTCTTTATGGCTGAGTAGTACTCCATTTTATGAAAAAACCACATCTTCATTATCCAGTTTCCAGTTGATGGGCACTTGGGCTGTTTCCAAGCTTTAGCTATTACAAACTGTGCTGCTGGGGCCGGAGATTTAGCTCAGGGATTTCGCTGCCTGCTGTGCAAGCGCAAGGACCCAAGTTCGATCCCCAGTACCAAAAAAAAAAACTGTGGTGCTATAAACATGGGTACACAGGTAGACATATATCTCTGTGGTATGATTCTTTAAATTCTTTTGGGAAAATACCCAGCAGGGGAATAGCTGGGTCAAATGGGACCTCCGGCCCTAGTTCTTTGAGGTATCTCCACACTGATTTCCACAGTGGTTGCACCAGTCTGCACTCCCACCAACAATGGAGAAGGGTTCCTTTCTCTCCACATCCCCGCCAGCATTTGTTATTGGTTGATTTCTTGTTTTGTTTTTGTTTTGTTTTTTGTTTTGTTTTTGTTTTGGTACCAGGGATTGAACTTGGGTCCTTGTGCTTTCATAGCAGGCAGCAAAACCACTGAGCTAAATCCCTGGCCCTATTGGTTGATTTCTTGATAGCAGCCATTCTTTCTGGGGTGAGGCGGAATCTCAGTGTTGTTTTCATCTGCATCTCTCGAATGACCAGTGATGTTGAACATTTTTTCATATGTTTATTTGCTGCTTTTACTTCTTTGTCTGAGAAATGTCTGTTCATTTCAGATGCCCATTTTTGAATTGGGTCTTTGAATTTGGGGGTTCTGATTTTTTTCAGTTCTTCATATATTCTCAATAGTAGCTCTTTGAGTTACAGCTGCTAAAAAATTTTTCCCACAATGTAGCTTGTCTGTTAGCTCTGTTGGTGGTTTCTCTTGCAGTGCAGAAGCTTTTTAGTAAGATGAAATCCCAGTTGTTGATTCTTTCTGCTAGTTCCCATGCTATTGAGGTTTTGTTCATAAAGTCTTTTCCTATAGTGCCGGGCATTTAGCACAGTGTTTCTGGTGCCTGCCTCGAAAGCGCATGGTCCCAAGTTCAATCCCTGGTACCAAAAAAAAAAAGAATCAGATCTGGAGTCACCGTCCTGGTCATCAGCATGGTCTCCAGTGTTGTTAACAGCGTATCTGCTATGTGGCTTATTTGTCCGGGACACCGGGTGCTCCTGGTTTCTCTGGAAGGGGTACCTGAACAGCAGCTTATTCCCCCTGCTGCCCGAGCTCACCAGAATCACGCTGATGGGACTGGTGTTGTACCCCATAATGCCAGGGGGCAGCAGGGGCTGGGGGTACCTGAGGTGGACGCACAGCCCTAGGGAACACCCTATGCCTGCAGGTTGGCCAAGAGAGCCAGTGCGACCACCTCAAGCCCAATGCGCCCAGTAAATGCTTCATTTTAAAAACAAATTATTACAGTAAGAAACAGATCACTACAAATCTCCCTCAAAATACTCCCCTTCCCTTCAAACACACTTATCCCATGATTCTTACCACTTTGTGAAGCAGTTCTAGGAGCTCTCTCTCTCATAAGAGTCTTTACATGGTCAGAAATACAGTGAGTGCTGCTGCCGAGGGCCATCCAATGGAAAGGCAGGCTCATAAAAACAATCTGGTGCGTCCTCATCTGCCTTATTCACTGGATCTGGCACCATGCAACAGCTGGCTCTTCCCCAAAGTCAAGATGAGCATGAAAGGGAAATGTATGGAATGGATTCGGGACTTTGAGGCAGCCACAACAGTGTGACCAAGAGACTCAGGAAAGAGGACTTCCAGGGGCCAGGGATTTAGCTCAGTGGTTCTGCCGCCTGCCTCGAAAGTGCAAGGTCTGGAGTTTGATCTCCAGTACCAAAAAAAAGAAAGAAAAAAGAGGACTTTCAGAACTGCTTCAGAAAATGGTGAGAAAGAGGGGATAAGCGTGTTAGAGGGGTATTCTGAGGAAGATTCAAGATCCTGTGTCTTTTACTGTAATAAATACTTCTATTGTGCTCTCTTCAGCAACATATATAATAAATACTTCTATTTAAACATTATTTTTAAATCATACTTTGTATATTTATATTCAACATAAATAAGCATTAAAGTATATAAAGTAGGGTACCAGAAGGTGCCCATGGAAAGCCTTTCTCTCCCCCAATCCCAAAGCTCCAGGAACAATGAGTCTTACCGGTTTCTTCTTCCAGTGAGAATTCTGAATATAGGTGCAATGAGACATAGTTCTCTGTTTGCCCCAGAGGTAGCAGGGTTTCTACCTTTCCTACACCTTGCTCCTTCCATTTAACAGTGTGCCCTGGCAATCTCTCCATATCAGCATATGCAGAGTTTCCTCTTTTGTTTTTTCTTCCTTGGCAGGGAGACCCTTGAATGTCCAGGCCCTGTGTAGGCTGCAGGTGAAGTGGGGCGCGTGTGTCCAGCATGGACGGCAGAGCTGGTGGATTCCACCCTGGAGGAGAGTGCTCCTCTAGTCCTTGAGGGCTTTCATGCAGCATCCATGTGGCGTGGGAGCCTGCAGAACCCTGACCCCATCTTGAAGACCTGTGTTCCAGACTTGGTTCTGCTACCAACTGCCCACTGGGCGAATAGTAGGTAAGGCATTCAGCCTCTGGAACCTCAATTTCCTCAACTATGAAACAGGGGAATGCCAGGGATTTAGCTCAGTGGTGGCAGCTCCTGCCTCACAAGCCCAAGGTCCTGAGTTCGATCCCCAGTACTAAACAGGGGATCAAAATTAGATCAGTATTGAACAAAAAAATCATATGGTCAGGTTTTTCAAAAATGAAAGTAGGTGTCGTGGCACATTTCTATAATCCCAGCACTCTGGGAGGCTGAGACGGGAGGATCTCAAGTTTGAGCCCAGCCTGGGCAATTTATTGACTTAGAGAGTCCCTGTTTCAAAATAAATACATAGAATAAAATAAAATAAAAAGAAGACAGATATGGTGGCATATGCCTGTACTCTCAGCACTCAGGAGGCTGAGGCAGAAAGATCGCCACAAGTTTGAGGGCGGCCTGGGCTACAGTGAGTTCGAGGCCAGCCTGAATTACACAGTGAGATCCTGTCTCAAAAACAAACAAAGAAACATTAAATAAAGAAATAAAAAGGGCTGGGGATGTAGCTCAGTGTGAAGGCCCCAGTTTGATCCCTAGTACAAAGTAAGAAGAAGGAAGGAAAGAAAGAAGAAAGGTTTTACTTTGCCATATGCCAAAGACAAGGGATGAATATTCTCACAAGCTAAATGAACTACATCATCATCTCCATGGCAGTTTCCAAGTGTGAGGCGAGACAGGCGCCCCAGCTCACTTTCAGGAGAGCATGGGGTCAGCGCTATTTCCATAACAGTGCTGCAGTGACAGCCGCCTCTTTGACTGTGTTGACACGCATGTGACACTGTCTTTGTGACTGTCACAAAGACAACGGTGGGCAGAACTTCTGGTGCCTTAGCATGGACTGTGGCACAGGCACCAGCTCTCCTGGCCATCCCTGCGTCGCCGGCCCTACACTGTCGGGAGACAAAGGCGATTCCCCCCTAAGAATCTCCTCACTGAAACAGTAAAACTTCATCTTCTCCAGTTCCAGCCCTCGGGTCTCCTTCTTAATATTCCGCATGATGGAATGAGATGGACACAGAGCGCTCGTTGGCTGCATCCCAAGCATGACCCTTGTCTCAAGGAAAAGCTCGCAGGAGACAGAGTTGTGGGCTGAATCGCCACTCTTTTCCTGAAACTCATTTTTCCATCAATGAACAAATGATAGAAAAACCATGGGTATTCAAACTGGGGCATCTGGCAGAAGTCTTCTCAAAGGAAACAGAATGACAAAGAAAACAACAGACCTATTTGTTACCAGGGTAAAATGCAAGCTTTCAAGCAAAAATTAGAATTTTGGAAAACTTATGCCTATGACTGTGAGATTGACACTTTCCCAGTATTTGTAAGATTTTTCCACACAGCTGGGTGGTGATATTGACAAATGTGGCTTTTTTGGTAATCTACAATGGAAAGTGTCAACATTTGGAAGAACCAAATAACTTGGTGAGACAGTATTTTCAAGTGACTAGTGCAAGCCACTAAAAAATCATGCTAAAAGATGCCCTCAAAGTGCAAGATCGAAGAATGGACTTTTTTCCTTTGATTTGTTTCTTGTTCTTTGTTTTTTGTTTTGTTGAGACAAGAGTCTCCTTAGGCACTGCAAGTTGCCCTTGAACTCACTACATAGCCCAGGCTGGTGTCAAACTCAGCAATCCTCTTGCCTCATCCTCCTGATTACTGGGATTACAGGCATGCACCAAAGATTTCTGAAACCAGAAAACCAGAGGTGAGAAGACAGGAGCTTCTTGGCCACTGTCATGTTCATAGCTGGGCCAGGTTGAAAATAGGACACTCGAGAAACCGCCCTATCCTCCGGCCTCCACGTGGTGGCGCGCTAGAGCTCGTCCAGTGCATCTGCAGGCCATGACAGGACCCTCAGGGTTTCACCATCATCACCCCTCCTCTTCAAGGAAAAAAGGGTGATTCTTCATGTCCTCAAACAGCCCAAGGCAGTGTGACACGGGACCTGTGTTCTGCTAAGCAGCATTGTCAGGGAGTGCACATCAGACAGAAGTTTCACAAAATAAATACCTGGGCGTGGTGGCCCAGGCCGGTAATCCCAGCACTAGGGAGGCTGAAGCAGGAGGATTGTCATGACTTCGAGGCCAGTTTGGACTACATAGAGAGACCCTGTCTCAAAAAGCCAAAAAAAAAAAAAAGTTTCAGAAAATAATGTGTCTTTGCTGCATGCTGATATTTTCTAATCCAATGAGCTTCTTTTAAAAGAAATGCTAGTCACACCCACCAAGTTGTTTTATGACATGCTGATCTCAATTAGATATTTTCCCTTCACCAAAAGGTGAATTCTCATGTGCTTTTTTTTTTTTTTTTTTGGTACCAGGGATAGAACTCAGGTCCTTGCACTTGCAAGGCAGGCAGCAGAACCACTGAGCTAAATCCCTGGCCCTCCTATCCTTTTTTTTTTTAAGGAGGAAAAGTTTATTTTGGCTCAGAATGCTCATAATCTCATGCAGAAAGCCCCAGTCCAGAATCTCTACTGCTCATCAATTGCGTATGGTGATTGGTGACCAGAATGTAAGTCTGTCACTCACATGAAACACACCAGCCAGGCCGGTCCCCTGCCACCCCTGACTCCTTGGCACCTCCTCCTTGGCTTTGAGGACGCCCTTTGCCGGCCTCCCCTCCTACCTTGGAATCCACCTTCCTCAGCCACACTCACACTCACGGAAGGGCAGAAGTCCAAAGCAGCTCTGGGGATGGGGCTGTCCTCAAAGACAGGACATGGTGAGTGCAGGAAGACAAGAGACCTTTAAAGCACTCGGTGTCAGTCTGTTCTGTGACAAGCCCTGCAGAGTCGCCTCCTACTGGAAGGCAGGCTTCCTTTATTGTTTGTTTTGTGTTTTGAGACAGGGTAGTTCAGGTTGGTTTTAAACTCACTATGTAGCCCAGGGCGGCCCTGAATTGAAGGCAATCCTCCTGACTCAGCCTCCTGATTCTGAGATTGCAGGCATTGACCACCATGCTTGGCAGGAATGCTTTTCAAAAAGAGTGAATAAATAGCATGTGCAAGGTCCTAGGTTCAATCCCCAGCATTGCAAGAGGGTAAAAATAGGGCCAGGGATTTAGCTCAGTGGTTCTGCTGCCTGCCTTGCAAGTGCAAGGACCCGAGTTCTATCCCTGGTACCAAAAAAAAAAAAAAAGTAAAAATAATACGAGTGAAAACAATGGACAGGGTGAGGTGGGGCAGAGGACAGTGTACCCTTGGCTGAAAGTGGCCAACAAAGGACAGGAAGACAAGAGGCAGGGGAAAGAGCCTGCCTTTGGGACAGACTGTTCGTCAACACCTCTTAACCTCAGGCGTATAAGAAACATGCACCAGGGCCTGGCCCCACAATGCCATGGCAGTGTCCCTTGGTTTCTAGGACATGACTGACACAACCAGGCCACCCGGTGCAAGCAGCAGGCAGCCTGAGCACCTGTCACCCCCATGCCCTGAGTCAGTGCGGGCTGCTGTCACAGAGCTAACGAGCTCTTTGTTTTATTGCTTCACTCATTCGGCACCGGTGACAAGCGGACTGCCATTGGCTTCCAGCACTAAATCAAGAAATCTCAGTCTGTTGCCCGCACCTGAGATGTGGTTAATTTTAGAGTAAAATCCAGACTGGAGACTTTCTAAAAAGCCAGAAGTTCTACCGCATTTGCACCCATTCTCACAGAAGTGTGGGGCTGAGCAGCAGCTGCTCCTTGGATGGGGCCCTGGGGCTCCCTGCTGAGCCACTAGCACCTCCTACCCGCACCCCACGGCTCACATTTGTTCACAGGCTGCCTGGTTCTGAAGTGTTGGTGTTTGCCACCCTGGTTTCAAAAAGAAAGCTTTTTTTGTTGTTTTGTTTTTTGAGACAGGGTCTCACTGTGCAGTTCAGGCTGGCATTGAACTCACTATATATAGCCTAGGCTGGTCTTGAACATGGCAATACTCCTGCCTCAGCCTCCCATGTGCTGGGGTTACGGGTATGTGGCCCCATGCCTGGCTGCACTGTTGTTTCTTGATCCTTTCTTTGCTGGGAGCTTTTGCCCACTTGGTGCAGCAGTCACAGTCACCCCCGCCTGGCACCGCCTCACAGATGCTCTGTGATCCAGCCAGGCCTAAACATCCGGCTCCAGGGCCTGAGTCTTTCCTGATCTGGCAGGGGGGGCAACCTTGAGAATGATGTGCCAGGAACCTAAAACAGGCTTTCACTGGAGTGTCATACAAGTTCAAAGTTGGAACATCTTTTTTCCTTTTGCTTTCAGGGCCCGGAGCTTTACGGTGATGGTGTGCTCCACAGTCCACACTGCACACCAGCTCCTGTGCTCTGTGTGCCGCTGCTGCTCATTAGAACCATCAAGGTAAATATTCCCATCGCTGCACGGAGACCTAAGGGCTCCCAGCTTCACGTCCTTCGTGACTCTGCAATGGGAATGTGAACCCAGCCCTGACTTCTCCCTTAAGGGGCAGGTCTAAGACCCAGGAACTGGGAGCCAGGGCATGAAACGGGGGGCTGTAGAGTTCTGATCTCCATATCCAGCATGATTTCAGTTCAAATGCCAGGAGGTAACTTAATTTCATGCTGATGAGTCAGAGTCCAGTTGCTGTTTGGATCCCGCTTGGGAACCAAGATTGTACAGAACACAAAAGATCGTCCATAAATAGACTCATACAAAGAAGACTTAGAAGGGAGGTGTCCTCTAACACAAGCACTTCAGCTCCGTGGGGGTTCTCATTGAGCCACCGCTCTTGAACCTGAATAATGACAAACTGTTGGTGGCTGTGGTAGCGTGGGCCGGGGCCACTCTGGGGTGGCCATCAAGGGCTGGGACTGCCCAGCACAACTGGTCTAGGCCCAGCCCCAGGGTGCAAGTTCCCAAAGCAGGTCAGTCAGTCAGTCACTGAACCTTGTAATCCCAGCGTCTCTCAGCAAGAAAACCTTCCAGTAACTGGACCCCTGAGTTATGTGATCACCCTACAAAGGGTTGAAGTCAGGGAACAGGTCAGGAAGCTGAAGGCCCTCTCGGAGGAATGCTCTGAACTGCGCCTGCAGCAGTAACTGTGTATGGTCTTACCCCTGGCGCCCAGCTAAGCTTTACCCTGCTCTCCAAATCAGCCTTGCAGCCCCTCCCAAATTAGCGCGGCTAGAACTGCATTGTGAGCACAAGGACTAGCACTACGATTTAAAAGATGGATAATTGATATTGGAAGAGTTGAACACTGTGGATACAAACCCCGGATTCTTGAATATAGTTTAGTCAAGGTTGTCAGCTTTCTACCGGAGGTCTTGCAACACCCAGTGCTCCGGGGAAAGGCTGAGGGTAGGCTGTGAGCTTGGCTGGTTACTAGAAGAATTTAAGATCTCTGCATGGATCCCCTTGCAAGTCAGCTTCCTGAAGGTTTTCTGGCATCAAAGCCCTGGGCTAAGTCGGCCTTGGGGCCACGCACAATTCGTGTCCAGGCTGTAGTCCCAGCTTCGCCCAGGCTCCCCTTGCCTTTTTACGGATGGTTATAGTTCCTTAGGGCTTCAAACCAAGACCTTTCCTCTAACTCTCCGATTCCAGTTCCCCAGAGTGGCCATCAAGGCCAGAACCCCACCAACAGCACACTGGTGCAGCAGGTCCTCAAACACCCAATCTCCAGGTGCTCAGACGTCTTCACCTGGACCACAAGTAACCCTAGTGTACCAGATCTGAGAACCAACCAGACCTCCCCCAACCTCGTGGGCCTGTGCTTCGGGGATGTGGCTGACTATTGGGGCTAGGTCTGTGGTTGGCTGGGGCGTGGCCTCGGCCCGGGGCGTGGCCTCGGCCCGGGGTGCGCCTCTTACTGTGGTCGTCGCAGAGAGCTGCGTCGATGAAGGCGGCCGCGGAGTAGAAGAAGACGCTGAGGTCGAAGGTGGGGACGTCGTCAGCCTCGATGCCGTGGTACTCGATGTCCATGTCACGGTAGTAGTCGGGCCCGGTGTCCACGTTCCAACGGCCGTGGGCGGCGTTGAGCACGTGCGTGAAGCCCGCCTTCTGCAGCCCGTAGCGGTCCAGGGCCGTCGCTCTGGGCGCAAGGGACAGAGGTAGGTGGTGCAGATGGAGGAGCCGCCTGGCTTCCGGTTCCCAAGGGAAAGCGACCGCGTGGAAGCCCCAAAGCCATGCTCTTACCTAGTCCCAGACCCTTGCTCTGACGACCCCTAGGCCACCCACCATTCAGTGTTTCGAGAAGGGAGAGGGTGGGGGGTGCGGGAGGGCGGGCTGTGCACTCGGCCACTCCTGTCACCATTCACCGATCCAGAGGACGACCAGGGTTTCAGGAGTGGACCTTCCAGATCCCCCCAAGGCTGCTGGCACAACCTGTTTATCCCGGCCACTTTCACAGAGGCCTAGGAGACCTTTGGTAGCTGGCCTCTCCTCTGACCTCTTAGGGTTTTATAGGGTTTGGAGGTCAAGGTTAGAAAGAATGGCTTAGGGCCTGGTCTTTCCCTGTGAGGATTCCATTGGAACTGGGTGAACTTGAATTGATGTTGAGTTGTTGGACCCAGTGTGAATATGAAACGGTTGCTTTAGTGAGTCTTTTGCCTCGTACGGCAAAGCATTGTTCTGAGGACAGCTATTTGAGCAGTCCACGGTTTGAACTGACTTTGGGGACATTCCTGAAGCCAGCAGAGGTGTTGCCTTAGCTTCGGGGTGCAGGGCCGGGATCCTGGTGGGCCACTAGGCCAGAGGGAGGACTTGGGATCTTCCTCTAAGCCTTAGAGGACTTTTAGGAAGGATCAGCGTTATTCACTTTGCTGACTAGTCAGTCTGGCTGGTGGGTGGACAGGAATTAGAGAAGGACAAAAATCAGAAGCCTACCGGTAGGTCTGTAGAGGCTGCTGCATTTGTATAGGCAAAAACAGGAAGGGAAAGAGGAGGGAGGGGGAGGGGGAGAGGAGGAGAGGAGAGAAAAATTTGGACCAGATGATGTCAGAGCAGGATTTGCTGATTGGGCATGGGGCAGGGAAGAGGGCCCTGGCCTGGCTAGAGCCTCAGATGTGACAGGCGAGGTGAGAACAATTTGGAGAGGGAGCGTGGGTTGTGATCTTAGTTGCCAAGTCTATATTTGGGGTCAAGGAGAGCTTTTGCTAAAATTTGAGGATGGTCGAAGTTGATTCTAAGCAGACATCTCTCTCTGTGCCACAAATACCAACCTGCAGCTCAGGGAAGGGCTCAAAGGGTCTGAAGTCACAAGAACAAGAGGACAAAAGTGACATTATGCTTCAGCTGAAAGCCTGTCTCAAGGTCAATGATAAAAGGATATGGACAGAAGTGACCATGCTGATGCCAGCAGGGACCGACAGGGGGCACCCTGTCTGGACATAGCTGTGGCCCTTCACCAAGGGTACCCTTGTGTCTCTGGCTTCCTGGAGCTTTTTGTTTGCCATGAGGGGAAGCACAGTGGTGCCATGTGTTGGAGAAAGGGGAAGCTGAACACAGGCGTTGAGCTTTTAGAAATGTTTGAAGAACTCCCTGCCGTGGAAGTTGCAGGGTGGAGAGGGTAGGGAGCCACGCCACACTCCCTTGCTGGCCCTTGGTACAGCCATCCTGATTACAGAACACAGTCTGCTCTCCACTTTTTTTTTTTTTTTTTTTGGTACCAGGGATCAAACTGCTCTCCACTTTTCCTCAGAAAGTTCTGGTATTCATTTTTCTTCTTGTCCCAAAGTATGTGTACCACAAACATCGTGCTTTGGGGACACAGATCGGCACTCAGTTAAGGCCTCCACTAATTCGGACCGTCTTGCTGAGTAGCAATCAACCTTACTTTGAGGTTGTGTTCAGTGGGGAAATTACAATTAGTTATCCTTTACAGGAAGCGCCTACACCACACAGCATGTTCTCTCTGGGTTCAGCGGCTGGATTTCAACAGACTGGAATGACAGTTTGAATAAATAACAATTTACACTTTGTTGCTTTTAGGGTCAAGGATAGAGTAGATATGCAACAAGATTTATTGAGTGGCACTCCACATTCACCCCTGGTCTGGCTTTGGCTTTGTCCCCTCTTAAAGGCCTCATGAGGATGCAACAGTAGCTCTGGTGGGTGTCTAAGGCTCCCTGAAGGTGTTCGGGGTCTTTGGCTACTTGGCCGGGAGCAGAGATCGAGTCCTCACACACCAGCCTGGGGACCTACCCTGCCTTGATCACCCAGAGCCCATGTGTGGCCTTGGAAGAGCGTCACAGCAGAATGAGAAGTTTGCAGATAAACACAGTGCCTGGCAGACTGCAGACACCCAGTGTCCTGTCCCCAGTTATTAGAAGTGAGGTGCCTGGCACTGTATGGTTTTGCTTATTAAATGTCAGGGCTGGGTACTTTGTTGACCAGTTATGGTATATGGGAAGGAGACTAAGAAATAGGTGTGTTTTTCAATGATGGGCACAGAGAAAAGGCCATGTGCCCCTCTCCTGGGCCCACCTACATGCCTCTGCTAAACAAGAAAAAATTTCAGGGGGAAAAATATTTAGGAATTTATTGCCAGAATCTAGGTGATCCAGAGGCCTTAGTGTCTGGTTGTTTAAGAAAAATCCTAGACCTAATCAGTCTGTTCATTTAAAAAATAGTCATCTCATTACAGAAATAACAAATATTTGGTGCAGAATATGGGAAACATGCTGGGCGTAGTGGCTCATGCCTGTAATCCTAACACCCAAGAGGGTGAGGCAGGAGGATTGCCGGGAGTTTGAAGCCAGCCTGGACTACATAGTGAGTTGAAGGCCAGCCTGAACTACAAAGTGAGACCCTGTCTCAAAAAAAAAAAAAAGAATGTGGGAAACTTGACATCCCTACAAAAAACATTGCCTGGGTCCAGGGTTTTAGCTCAGTGGTTCTGCAACTACAAGGTCCCAAGTTTGATTCCCAGTACCAAACAAAACAAAAAAAACCCAATGCCTGTATTGCTACACTGTTAAAGCAAAGCACCATATTACTGTATTAGCTTATTGATATAATATCCTCCTGTTGTATTTCTGTGATAGATTTATGTACTTATGGTTTTGTTTTCCAGTACCAGGAATTGAACTCAGGACCTTGCACTTACCAGGCAGCCATGGTGCCACTGAGTTACATCCCTGGCCCACTGTTAATACAGGCACCTTGCTTAATTGTCCTTCACAGATACTGCCTTATTTATTTTATTTATTTGTGTATTGATTGATTGATTGATTGATTTTCAGTGCTAGAGATGGAACCCAGGGCCTCAACTGTGCTACAAAAGGGCTCTGCCACTGAGCTACATCCCCCAAACCTTTTTATCTTTTATTTTGACACAGAATCTCTCTAAGTTGCCCAGGCTGGCCTGGAATTTCCATTCTCTGGCTCAACTTCCCAAGGACCTGAGTTTGTAGGCATGTGCCTACAAACCTGCCTTGACCTTTTTATTTTTTTAAATTCTGGCATTGCCCAGGCTGGCCTCAAACTTGTAAGCCTCTTCCCTCAGTCTCCCAAGTTGCTGAGATTATAGGTGTGTGCCACCATGTCCATTATTTTTTAGACATAATGTTTAATAACATAATAGACTACCATGTATTATAAACATGCCTTTCATATGCACTGAGAAAACCAAAGACTTGGATTAACTTGCTTTATTTTGACATTCGTTTTATCGCGGTAGCCTAGAACTGAACCCACAGTGTCTCCAAATATGCCTGATGTGCAGTTCCAAACCTTTAGCCTGGTGCTCTAGTGTACACATCTTCCTGTATACCTCGGGGCCTTCAGTAGCCTCGTGCCATTCCATCATATGGACCATTTGCCATTGTACCTCACCCCACACTTGGCTGGATTTCTTTGGGCACATCTGATTATGTTGTTAGGAGAGGATTTTATTTTATTTTATTTTATCTTTTGTGGTACACTACTGGGGATTGAACCCGGGGCCTTCCTGTTTGGCCTCTCCTCCACCCCTGCATCCAGTCCTCCAAGGCTGGAGGTGAGAGAGGAAAGAGCGTACACCCAGGAGGCCTGTCTTTGAGCAGTGGTGTTGTGCTAATGATTAGACTAAGCATTGCCACCCATTCGAGGAAGTCTTTAATGTTGTTGAAGCCTTGACCTAGAAGATTTCATCCAGCAGGCAAAGCTGACCAGACCAGGGCTTCGGGGCTCTCTCCCCAGCCACCTGCCCATGATCAGTGTTCAGTTGTGCCTAAGTAAGTGCCAGTATTTGAAGATTATGGGTCTAGATTTTCTAGCTCTTTCTGATTACATACAGCACATTCAGTTGTCAACCTCATGTGTTTTTGGTGCATTCTAAACTGGCCAGCACTGCACCTTGGAGAAGCAGGTCTTTAGCTCTGCTTGTGCTTTGAGGCCAAATTTGTTCCTTTTGGAGGAAGAAGGGGTCACAACTGTCCAGGTGCACTGATAGGAAGTGCTCTCCTCACCAGGTACTGTCTCAGCCTGTTGATTGCCTCCAATCCCCTCCATCTCTCTCCCCAACTGCAGGCGCTAGAGATGCCTCTGGCTTTTGAGGCTATTGTCCCAGTTTGGAGCAAAAATTCAGGCAAAACAGAGAGATCCCTGGAAAGCAACTAGGGCTGGGGGTGCTGGCCACAGGCATTTGGGGAAAATCAGGCTCTGTGGGGAGGGCAGCTGACTCTTGATGACCCCAAAACCAGACCTTGGAGGAAACTACTGGTTTAATAAAAATGGGAGCTGCCTAAGGCCTCTGTGATTCAAGAGGCAGCACAGCGTAACAGCACCCTGGCATGCCTGCTCTCAGGGCACCCGGCTCCCCCAACCTGGAGAGGAAGGGAGATTTCCCGGCTGTCCTATCTCAGCCTGGCCTTATTATCTGAGCTGCCCTGCCTGGGAATTTGCAGTCACTCTGACAGCAGCTAGGATATTTCCCCTCCTGCTGACTATAGGAGAAAAAATAGAAAGAAAAAAGATTTTGCTAAGCAAATGAAAGATGTGAACGAGATTAAACTGAGAATATTTAAATTACAGAAACTTAGTGCTTTCAAGCATCCTCAAGCATTTCTGAAGCACCCATTTAGGGGCTGCTGATTGATAAGAGGCAATGAA